CTGATCTTTGACAACATTTAGGGATTTTAAGAGCTTGAGATGAGGAAGGCATATATTCCAGGCATGAAATACAGTCTGAACAAAGGTATGAAGATAGGATATAGGATGTTGTATATGCGAAATGGCAAAAAAAGCCAGTTTGACTGAAGTCATAGTATTTGTGAAGGGGAATAAAGTGTAATAAGGTAGGTTTGAGCCAGGTTGTGAAGGGCTTCATATGCTAAGTAGAGGAAGTGAGTATTTGCTCTTAGAGGTACTAAAGAGCTCCTGTAGTTTTTTTGGGGGGGTGAGGGAAGAAGAGAATAAGCATTTGTAGGGCTCCTACTATGTACCAGGCACTGTGCTAAATGCTTTTTACAAGTATTATCTCATTTCATCATCATGACAACCCTGAAAGGCAGGTGTTATTATTATTACCCCCCCCATTTACAGTTGAGGAAACTGGGGCAAATAGAAGTTAAGTGACTTGCCTAGTGTCATACAACTGGTCATTGTCTAAAGCTGGATTTGAATTCAGGTCTTCTGATTCCAGGTTCAGTGCTCTATCCACTGTACTACCAAGCACTTTATTGAATAGGCAAATAGCATGGTCACCTTCTTGTTTTATGAATATCACTTTGGCAGCTGTGTAGAGGATGGAGTCCTCCTGCCATCCTCCATCCTCCATTAGCATGCACAACAGTGCTGAAATGGATGACTTTGGGATGCAATATCTTCTGGAGGAGTGCCAGTATCTTCTATGAGTGCTGGAAGGTAGAAGGAACATGAGAAGTAAGACAAAGAGAAGTTTATTAACAGTAGAATGAGATTCTAGAGGGCACAGTGGAAAAGGCAGACAGAATTGGTTTGGGACATAGGAGAGGTAGGTCTAGGTTTGTCCTGGTGAATGTTTAACAACTGGCCAGCTATGTGGTGGATAGATTGGAGGGGATAGAGAGATGAGAGAGGAAAGGCCTGAGATAGGGGTACCACTGCCACTAACTTAGTGAAGGAGAGTAAGGAGTCAAGAAGGGGATTAACAGAAAGTTTGATGATCTCTTTGACAAAAGCAGGAAAGTTTGGACTAGGGATGGGGGAAGATAATGAGCTCAGGTTTGGATATGTTGAGTTTAAGATGACTATGGGGCATCTAGTTGGAAATGTCAAATTTATAGTTGATTTGGAAATAGAGAGCAGGACAAAAGACTAGGGCTAGTAATATACAGATTTGGAAGTCATCTGTATAGAGATGATAACTGAATCCATGGGAACTGATAAGGTCACTGAGGGAGTGTAGAGAAAGAGAAGAATTGGAGTGGTTGGTGTTGTCTTCATCAGAGACTAGTAAAAATGAGTAGAGAAAGGAGGATAACATCAAGAAGACTTGAGATATTGCATAGTGGAGAAGGACCTCCTCACTGATAAATTACCGCTACTATTTTTTTCAGTAATGTATGAACTGAGGTCCTTTGCTGAGGGATGAATAGGTTTGAGGAGAGAAGATAAGGTATGATAGAGATCAAAGTAGGGAAGAATAAGATTGCCTTACTTAGTTGAAGGACCAGTTGAGCTTAGATAGAATCAATTTTTAGCAGACCCAGTAAGTAGAGACTTATGACTCCTTTTACTACTAGGTTAGCACCAAATTAATAGAAACAGATAGTGGGAATGATCCAAGATTAGTATTTATCAGGGCCTGAGCAACTACAGGCCACGGGGCAAGGGATTAGAGAGTTGAGCACAGTGTAAAGATGAGTTGATTAACTACAGGGTCAAAATTGGGAAGGGTGGAAAGTGAAGCCAGAACAGGGGTGATGGCCTGTATGGTAGGAGAAATAACTATTAGTTTCTTTCAACATGTGGGCTGAGCTAGTGAAAGGTATTTAAATTGGCCTTGATTGGTTCAGAGGACTAAGGCTCAGGTTGCTGACATGGTTTCCTGGTCACTTGAATACAAAAAGCCATGAGGAACTCTAACTGAGTGCTGAGACTTAAACAACTGCCCTTCACCTGCAATAGGTAAGTAAACCTCCTTTAATTAATTGTGAGATGGACTACAAATATCTTACTTTATCTTACTATCAAACATGAGGTACTATCTTATTATAGGCTTGGCAAGATTTCGGATACCAAAGTTTAGCACAAGAAAACATGAAATACACAGGAAGACAGAAAAAGAAAACGTATTGAGGGAACATAGAATAAGAAGGGCAGTCAGGGATGATGTTCCCTGGCTACCAGCAGTGGAAGGGAGTACTCTGCTGGGCCCTGGGGTAGAGGAACCTAAACCTGGAGACTGTTGCTAATTCATGATATGTGGGGTCTTGAGGAACTAGACTTGGGAGCTGGAGGCTAGTTGATATCCAAACCCCCTGTCAATGGTCAAAGAGGCTTTTGTCAATTACTGCTGATCTTATTTTGACAGGGTAGCTCAGGGGATATATGCATCTTCAGGACTTCCTCATTTAGGAGGGTGGGAAGGCTTCTGAAGTCCTTAGATGTGCCAGACTGATCTGGTCAGTTCTGGCCTGTTATACCTTGGGAGAGTATAGTTCTCCCTTCCACATCTTGACTTTCCCCATCCTGTTTTCTATATTTCGAGGATTGACATAAGAAATTAAAGGGGAATTTTTGGGGAGCTTTGTGGAAGTAGCAGACAACACAGAGCCTGTGACCAAAGACTTATCCCAAATTTTACAATAAGATACTGTGAACACCCCATAAAAGAAAAAATAAAAAATTCAGACTTCTCTGGTACAAAGGTCGGATCAAAATATTTCACTCTGATTGTCCAGATTGCAGGTGCTGCACCCCTATTCCCTGAGATGTGGAAGAGATAAAACTACACTGAGGGGTGGAAGGAGTAGAGGCCACAGTGAGAATAAACAATAACTTTTGGAGGAGTGAGGTTTCTTGAGATATGGAATGATCAGAAAAAAAAAGATTTTTGAAATTTGAATTTTTTTTTTTTGCTTTTTGGTGAGGCAATCAGGGTTAAGTGACTTGCCCAGGGTCACACAGCTAGTACGCGTAAAGTGTTTGGTCTGAGGCTAGATTTGAACTCAGGTCCTCCTGACTCTAAGGCCAGTGCTCTATCCACTATGCCACCTAGCTGCCCCTGATTTTTGAATTTTCATCATAGAAACGAAGATGATGAAATTCAAGTGTGTGACCTCCATTCCTGGGCAGAGCTAGAGTGGAGCTGAGGATATTGAAGCACTGGAAGGCCAGAGTATTTGAGGGAAATCAGAGCATTTATTGTAGTCTCCTAGTAAAGGACAGAGGGTGGAATGGAAAGCAGGACTGAACTGATTGTGAAAGAAAGCACAATGACCTAAGGGCAGGACTGTGGCATAGTAGATAGAACATTATCCCTGGAATCAGGAAGACCTCAGTTCAAATCTGACTTTAGATACTGAGTTGAAAGATCCTGGGCAAGTCATTCAACCTCTGCTTCTTTCAATTTTCTCATCTGTAAAATAGGGATAATAATAGCACTTACTTTCCAGGATTATTGTAAGGATCAAATGATGTCATATTTGTAAAGAGCTTTGCAGTCTTTAAAGAGCTATTTAATGTTGGCTATTATTATTATTAAATTGATACCAAGATGGGTGATATCAGTGTGAACACAAAAGGAGGAGTGATCACTACATAATAGTGGTGAGAGAGAGATTGTGGAAGTGATAATGAGGAGTAAGAAGTATGCCAATTTCCCTCCAGGACCAGAGTTCATGTAGTAGAGTGAGATAAGAAATATGACTCATACTGAAATAGATGACTTAGGGATGTAGTATCGTTTGGGGAAAGCCAAGTCTCTGTGAGTACCAGGAGGTGGGAGGAACAAGAAAAGAAAAGGTCTAAGCTGATGAGAAGTTTGTTAACAGGAGAATGAAATACCAGAGGGCACTATAGAAGAGGCAGACAGAACTAGATTGGGACAGGGATGAGGTAGGGCTGCCCTGTTGTCCTGATGAATGTTTAACAGCAGGTTCACTGAATTAAAAAAAAAACAAAACATATTCTTGACACACTTTAATTGCATCACTAACACTTTCTCCATCACTTTCTTAAGTCTAGAAATCACAAAACAATAAATCAAGCCCTGATTTGTAGCATTTACCAATTTCTGAAGTGTAAATGTTTATACTAAATTTTTAATAATTGACTCTCCAGAGAGAGCTGGTAGAAGCTCAGTCTAGCACCCACCTTGTAGGTCTGAGGTAGATGGGGAGAAGAGGACCAGAAAGTTGTGGCAAGGGAAAGGATGGTTTATGCTTAGGTAGCTGGGGATTCTGTACCCCTGGGGCTGGAAGAGGAAAGAACAAGTGTGCTAATTTGGTGGATATCTGACTGTTTGACTGGTGCTCATACCCTCAAGAAGGCCCATTCTCCTGTCCCTCTAGAATAGGATTGGGGGAGGGAGGGAGAAATTTGTGTTCTATTCAACAAGCATTGATTTAGCACCTTCTATGTGCCAGATACCACATGAGAACACAAATGTAAGTGATAGTTCCTGCCCTCCAGAAGCTTAGATTCAAGGGACAGGATGGGAGAGATGACGTAAGTAGTTATAAAATGTGTCCAATGTAATTCTAGGGCATGGAGTGGAAAGCAGCTCTAGACCTCTCTTGAGTCAGAATGAAGGGAATGTCGGGTCCTTGAGGAAATAAACACTTTGGATTTTTGTCTTTTCTCTTTACGTCTAACACTGTACTCCTAGCTCTTGGTAGGTTCCGAATTAATGCTTGTTGACATGAATTGCATTGAATGGCAACCAAGGCCACAAAATGAAGAATGGCCATATTCTTATTCAGCCTGTGAATTGTAGTAAGTGTTTGCTGTTGCCACAGGAAATCAGATCTGAATACAAACATTAGCTGCTCCCTTTTAACTAATGAAAACGGGATGGGATGAAAACTAAACCCAGAGTAAGTGCTTCAGGCTTTTAGTAAACAAAGGACCTCAGTTTTGCAAGGTTGTTCCTAGTACCTACTCTATTTCATATTGGGGGTAACTAAGGAAAATCTGGTTACTTCGGTGGAGGATACAGGTAAATACTGATTGAGAATGTGTGTTTCTCTTTCCTCTCTTGCTAATCTTTCTTTTCTCAAATCAATGTTTAATTTGAGTTCAAAAATGAAAAAAAAAATGCACTTAACTGGCATTTAGTTATTAGATATGCTTTATTTGGTGTGGCCCACCATGGGAGAGATGTGGACAGTGCCAGAAAACCTGAGCTCAGCTTTGCATATTACTATATTAATTATGTTATTAGAAGAATAATATTATGACATTATTATATGCCATGTAATAAATATGATAAAATTTGCATTATTATACTACATATAATGCTGTAATATATATTTTAATTTAATAGACAAAATCAGAACTCTTCTCTTTATGAGAAATTTGCATAGATGAATCTTTATCAGCTGCATTGGCCAGAAGATTGCATTAGATAACCTTTAAGTTTCCCTGCAGTTCTAGTATTTTCTATGAAGAGAAATGTTTTTAAGTCATAGGTCGTGGAGCTGGGTCTGTTGCATACTCCCTTTGTGACTTTGAGCAGGTCTCTTAACCACTTGGGCCTTAGTTCCTCATCGTGAAAATAAAGGGGTTGGACTGGATGATGTTGTGACTAGATGACATGATTGATGTCTTCCAGCACGGAGGTTAATGTATGTAAAAAATCTCAAAGTGCTATTTAATAATAATAATAGCTAGCATTTATAGAGGCTTTAAGCTTTGTGAAGCATTTACATATGCCATCTCATTTGATCCTCATAATCCTGTGAAGTAAGTGCTATTATTACTGTCATTTTCCAGATGAGGAAACTGAGGCTGAGAGGTTAATCAACTTGCACAGTTCCTGGCACTTCAATGTTTATTGACTGACTGACTGATTGTACAAGGTCATCTATCTAGTTATTGGCTGAGGCAGGACTTGAATTTAGGTATTCCTGATTCCAGGTCTAGCGCTCTATCCACTATACTACCCAGTTATCTTAAATGATAGCTTATTTATAGTTCTATAAAGTTTGCTAAGTTGTTTACTTATGTTATATCACATTATATTGTATTATATTACATCATCTTTATAGCATACATCATTTAATACTTAAATGTTAATGACAAGGATGATGACGTATCTTCTATGTATGGGGTCCTGTAAGGAGTTCAGGAAACACTCCAAAAAAGCTTACTAGGACTTCCTGATTGCTGATTTAGGAACTTAAAGACTTATGAGTTTCAGTTCATTTGTACAGAGAGTAGCAGGGCACTAGAGAAAAGAGATCTATTAATTTACTCAGTTTCCATTATTTACATCTTTTTTCCCCCCAGCATCGATCCTTGTCACTTTTATTCCTTGGTTCTAAGTAAGGCATTTTATTCTTTCTGTAGTTATTAAGCCAACTGTTTAGCACGATAGCAACACTCATTTAGTTTTTGTTGACATTTAGTTTTGTGCCTTCTATTCATTTTATAGCATCACAGTTATAGGGTGGGGCAGGCAATGCTCTTTCAGGGCCCATGGCAAGAGGAAGAAATGTAGTCTTCCACATGTCTGTGGCCTTCTAGGTCCTTGGGTGCGGCTTTTTGACTGAGTCCAAGATTTACAGAATAATTCTTTTTATTAAGGGGATTTGCTCTGAGAAGTTTGGATTCAGTCAAAGAGCCACACTTGAGGACCTAGAGGGCCACATGTGGTCTCTAGGCCCCAAGTTCCCTGACCTTGCATCAGGCAAATTATTTCACCTCTTTGCATTCAGTTGCTTAATAATAATAGTTCACACTCATTTAATGTTTTAAGGTTTGCAAAATGCTTGACATTTATCTTACCTGCTTTTCTAAGGCAGATGGGGAAACTCATCAGAGAATTTAAGTAATTTCTTCCTGGCTACAAAGCTAGTTTTAGACACAGGATTCAAATTCAAGTCTGTCCTGTACTCTGGGTCTAGCGCTCTTTTCACTGCATGATGCCACCTTGTCTGTAAAATGATGAGGTTGAAACATGGTTTTGTTATCACGCTAAATTGTAAGATCCTGCCAGGTAGGTGGTAGTGATGTCTAAAGGCTTTCTGCAGATTCTCAAAGTTTCTCCTTAAGGAAAGTACTTCCCGAGATCCCATAGGGTAGTAATTATTCTCTTTTTTGTTTCTGTATTGCTAATGCATACTTGGGTGTGGTAGATTTTGGCCTTCAGCTGCTGCTACCCCTCTGAGAACTGCTGGTTGAAGAACCTCCAGGGCAATAGACCAAATAAGAATTTACCCTGGTGACAGCAGGTTAAACATGCTAGTAAAATAGAAGTTGGGGGGGGGAAGTTTTAGTCAGATAAACAAGGTCATTAAGTAGGAAGAGGGAAAGCAGTCAAAATAACAGTTAAAAAAAGGGATTTTTCTTTTTTTTTCTTTCCTTCTAAAAATTATTTGTTTCACAAGGCTCTCTGGGAGAGGAGAGGGGGAAAGAGTATGGGAAAATCTAGGCAAATGAAAGATAGCAGTAAAAATCTATTTTAAAGGGGAAAATATAGGAAGGAGGAAGATCCTTAATTTAAAAAAAAATTCTTAGTTAAAAGGGATGTCTCTTTAAGTGGGGGAAGAATTGTTGTCCTTTCTACTCGAAGAGGACTAAAATGACATCACTATGTTGGAGTCAAACAAAGTGCAGTGTGTCCGACTGTGGCTGATCAGACCAGTAGGAACTGGGAAGGCTCTACTACAGGTCAGGCACAAGTAGTCTCTGAACATTTGGAGTGGAGATGTCTTTAAATTTGTGCATCTCATGTGTCTTTTGAGCTACTGAAATTCTGCTTTGCTCACAGAGCACAGAGCCTTCTTTGATGTGGGCATGCCAGCTGGGTGGCCCTGTGCCAGTGCCTTCCGGGTCTCATCATCGATTCCAAAATTCTCCAGAGAGACCTTGAGAGTGTCCTTGTATTGTTTCTTCTGACCTCATGTGAGTGCCTTGCATCGTGTGAGTTCTCTGTAACTTTAGGCCATGTAAAGAAAAACGATATCATTAAAAAATCTGTACAAGGTATCCCAAAAGTCTATTTAAGCTATTAAAGCTTACAGCTACCCTAAAACTTTGGGGATACCCTGTTAAAAAATAGAAGAAAGAGGAAAAAAGGTAGAAAAATATAAATTAGGTAAGTCTCAAGTCACTGTAGACTTTGTTTAGATAAAAATTAAGAAAATTCTGGGTTTGTGCTTCATTCATCATTTAGGGGCTGGCAGGACCTCCCTCATCTCAAACTAGTTGTTGTGACAGGGAATAGGGATGATCGTAGCTATGGGAGACAGAGAGAGGCTCAGGGAGCTCTGCCTGTTGACTGTAAGAATATTTAGGCATAATTTTGCACCCAGTATCCTTCCCCTGTTGTTTGACAGCTGTATCCTTACAAGCTAAGTAAATGTATTCTTCTATAACCCTTTCCCATTTGTTAGGTTGGTCATTTGCAATCATCTTGATACTTGACACCAGCAACTGTCCACTACAGTCACATAATTCCTTGTTTTCTGTTAAACTCCCCAGTGGCCTTGATTCTACTTTATGAAACTGAAATTGGTGGTGTAATCTTTTAACTTGACTATGCCGAAAAACAAGCTTTTTTTTTCTTTTGGTACAATCTTAACTATATCTTTTGATTTCACAATGTGTGTCTGAATCAAGGAAGTGGCTGTTCAAATAATTTGTCTCCTATACCATTTAGTTTTTGTTGATACTGGCTTTTTGGTGGTTTAGGATTACTTTATAACAATAAAACGCATGACTAACAACACCCTTAGAAACTTGCAAACAAATCTGCAAAGGTTTGTTTTTTTTTTTTTTAAGCAATTTAACTTTTATTTTGAAAATGGAAACACCACAGAAGCTATTATTGCCAAGTGGCAACTTTCAAAAAAAAAGATGTCAGGCAACCTGAGCTTCAGGAATGATGGATTGGGGGACTTGCCTTTGTATTCTACTGAGCTGCCTTAGTCACAGAAGTTCTAAGCAACCATCAAACAGAAAAGATGCTAAATCAGATGTTAACAACACTTCTGAGGTTTAGGGGGTCTGTCTGACTTTCCTTATCATTCAAACCTCCTGGGATCTTTTATAATTGGCCAATAAGAAGTTGTATATAGATTTAAAAGACAGTAACCTGAACAATAACCACATGAACTTTGGGAATTTCCATTTTAATATAAACATGTAAGTCTTATTAAAATAGCTTCTAGTCAATTCCAGGCAGCTCTTTAAAGATGCACTCATATTTTTACAAAGATGCAATTAATTAGAAATAGTAATTAATTCTCCTAGACTATGCAGGTTCTATTTTTTGTGAGATTTGCAGATAAAACCTCTTAAACACAAGGATATATGGAAGGAAGAGAAAATCTATAGAGGCATTAAGTGGAATCAAGAAGAGCTGAGTCCAGATCTTGCCTTAGATCCCATTTTTGTGATGTTGAGCAAGTCATTTAATCCCTCTATGACTTAGTTTCTGAAGTAGGGTACAGTGCATAGAGCACCAGCCCTGGAGTCAAGAGGACCTGAGTTCAAATTCAGCCTCAGATACTTGACACTTATGAACTGCGTGTCCCTGGGCAAGTCAGTCACTTAAACCAAACTGCCTCACAAAAAAAAAAAAAATGGAGAAAGTAAAATTATATCTACTCCACAGCACTGTTGTCAGGATCAAGTGAGATAAAATGTAAAAGTGTATTGTACCTTTAAAGTGCTTGATTGATGCTAGTTATTATTATTAACTATATAATGAGAGGCAGTATCATGTAAAGGAAAGAACACTGGGGTTGAAATAAAAACTGATTACTAGTCTTGTGCAATTCACTTTTCTCCAGTCTTCTTTCTCCTCATCTGTAAAATGGGGATAAAAATATTTCTTCTACCTACCTCATGGGATTGCTGTGAGGAGAACGTTTTGTAAACCTTAAAGTGCTATAAACACTTTTGTAAACCTATAAGTGTAAGTTGATTATTATTATTATTATTATTAATAATAATAAAAGGAAGAGGAAGAGGAGAAGGAGGACATAGGAG